ATACATCAGTATTCTAGAAACTTTTTTTTTCTATACCATAATCATCTATCGTGTTTGAAACCAGATGTTTCAATGCTGTGCTGGCAGGAAAGCACAACCTTCAAACTCAACTAAGAAACTTTCCAAATGTTCTTCACCTTCCTAACTGACCTATTTAAATTTGTCCGGGGATGTTATTGATTTATTACAGTGTTGATATCCTGCCCTTTCTGGATCTTTTTGCAATCGTACAACAAACTGCCTTGGGGATCTTTCTATGGTTGCAAAAAGATCAGTATTAGCAGATGAAAATATCAAAATGCATGGTGAGAACAATTTCTCTGCAACTACCTATGTTTCATTTATGTATGCTGGCTGCGAATTGTAGTCCAACACATCTGGACAGCACAGGTTAGAGGAGGCCATGGAGTCCATTGGAAGTGTGTATTTGAATCTAATTTTAAGTTCTGATTATCCAGACCTCCAAATGTCTCCCAAAGTTCTTTGGAAGTCTATATTACGATCCAGAATCTAGACTTTGCAGTTTATTTGTCTTGTTTGCTAATGTGATTTATTTTGCCTTGAACTCCACCTCCCCACCTCCCACCCCACTCCCACCAATAGGCTATGAATCCTTGTGTTTTCCCCTGCTCTACCTTCCTAATATATTCAGCTGGGCAGGCAAGTATTCATTATTCTTTCCGACCTTTAAGCAGTCAGATAGATATTTGTGGAAAAGAGATTTTTGAATAAGAATCCAAACACACTGACATATATTATGGGGTACCAAACATAACAGTATTTCATTTTATTATTTTTGCCTAATAATTTTATAATATTTTTGGAAAGTTGTCTAGGGTGTTAATTGTATCCATGTTACCTAAGCTCTGAAGACATGTGAAAAGATGGCAAGCCAGAAACGCTTGGACTTTTTGTTGTCCAAGAGGCAGAATGAACCCAGTAAAGCTTGACTAAGTGCCACAGAATGCTAAGACTGTGTTTTAATAAGGAGCTAAGTGACTGAGCTGGGCATTAAAAAATATGTCATAATAAAGCTATATCAGATTGTAAATTAATATCCAGTGGTGGGAAACAGTGAATGAAGCTTTGAAATTTTTAATAATGGCTTGGGCAATTTAAACATTTTCCCTAAAAGCATATCCTTATCTCAGTCTTTGATTTTTATGCAAAATTAGGTTGTCATCAGGAGGGATTGGGGGGAAATCCCACACAATTTAATTTTGAAAGCCAAAATGCTTGTGATCTTGATTACTTAAGGCTGTTATAAATCAAGAACAAATGTCCCACAAATGTTGAGTGAACACAAGAAAAAAAAGAACTATACTTAATATCCAAGTTTGTGTTGTATCACTCATTCTATACTAAGTTTCATCCATTGTCCTTAACCAGAACTAATCATAATGCCTGATTCTTAAAAAGAATTAAGAAGCCCAATTTCATCAAGTTATAAATCAATTGTATGAAACCCACCCCTTGATATCAAGAGTTCCCTTTTCATATTCTAAGGCTATTTCTTTATAACCTCTTTGTAAAGTTATTGATTTAATTGATTTATATTAGAGAATGTACTGTACAATCCTTATAGGGATGCATGTTAGCAAATACAAAAATTGATCAGTGTTCTTGAGACCTGTAGGAAAATTCCCCATAATAATGTACATCCTAGCAGTGAGTTATGATAACAATGTGTCTGCCAGGAGTGATTCTCACTGCATACCTGAGCTACTCACTAATAGTGTCTCATGGTGAATTTTTCATAACTGAATGTGATGTTTACACGCCCATTTCTTGCCTCTTCTGAATTCAGGAATATGGTTTAATCATCTTGACTTTCAGGGAGTTATCAGCATAGGAGAAACCATGCTGACCAGTCAAGAAGCATGTGAAAAACTGAACCTGGTTCTCAGCCTTCCGATTCCTGCTGTGTTACTGACGTCAACAGCAGGGAGGGGATTGGGTTACCAACTGCTTTTAAAGTGCCACTTAAATCACACCCCAGTGAAAATATTTGACAAATTTGGGTCTTGATAAAAGCTGTCAGGACAGCAGGGTGTTGTATGTAAAAACAGAGCATACCAGAACACCCTGTCACTTTTGTTAATGGCCTGCACATACAAAGCTCTCTTGATGAACAAATGGAATGGCAATCTAAAAACCAGGCCAATTCCACTGGATGCCGGGATCAGAGTCTGCTTTTAGATTTTACATTCATAGTCGCAAGTAATCTCTTGCTGACTGAAGCCAGCGGGGATTGCATGTATATGCAGCATGTAGAAAAAATAATTCATCCAATGGCATAAACATTTAGGTCAGAATATATAGCTCAGTTCTATGCAGAGTTTTTTCAGTAATGTTTGAGCAATAACTTTTGTTTGCTTATATGGGGCTGCATTTACAAAATGTATTTCCTTCTATTTCACTAAAATGAACTTTAACCTAGAAAAATGAACCTTGAACATTATTCTTTCCTCACATTTCCACATGAAGTCAGAGTGTAACTACAGAAGGCTAAAACTTTAAAACTCTCTGAAAAAGGAAGGTACCTGTAATATCTAAAATGTTGTGTCTTTATCTAATAACTGCTATTAGAAACAAAAAACAAAAACTGTAAAACAAAACAAAGGTTGTAGAATCATCTTCTTACAGTATGCTCCTAGTTTAGTAATTGCATAAATGACTTTTAAATAATGTTGGTTCAGGGTCCCACTCCAACTTAAAATTCTGGTGTGGGGTACAGGGGATTTTAACACTTTGTCTTCTCCTGCTGTCCCAGTCTGGATTGGGTCATCTATTCCTGCTTTTTGCATTGCAAGGGAAAAAATCCATTCACTTCAATGAGACATTTTTTTCCCTAATGCAAGTAGCTCAAAACCACAGCAAGGGACAACAGGTTGTGAACATGATTTGTAAGGAAAGGGCAAGACCAATACAAATATTGGTGAATTTCCAAGGTGGTTGGCTCAGCCATGTACATGAATGAAGAGAATGTCTGCAATTTTGGAAGAGAGGTGCAGAGAGGCAGGTTTGTGGCTGGACTGCTGTCCCAAAATCATTAACCTGTTGATCTCCACTGTCTGGCCAAATTTAAATAGGAAGAAGCAAGGAAATGACTGACATGACAACTGAAATTAGAAATGATTAACATGATCAGTTCTTGATCATATGCAGCCCAGTCCTCGGCAAGCTTATTCCTGCTGTGTGCAACAAGAGGCTTACTCTTATATAAGTGAGAGCCCAACTGTTGTTATATTTCAGGGCACAAGGGACAGTACATTGTAACTCATTTGGGCAGGAAAGAACCTTGGGGCAGCCCTGGAACAAGGATAATTTCTTCTACATTGATACATAGCTCAAAAGTGGGGAGGGCAGCTCTGCCTTTGGTTGCATGAATTAAAAAGAGGCTGTTAGATACGAGATACTCAAGGCCTCTGATCAAACTGCTGGTCTGCATGGCTTGTGGCGGCAGGCATTTGGGGGCAATATACTAGATGGGTCAATATGATGACTGATGAGACCCAAGAGTGCAGAAATCATAAATAGGGATGTCAGTCCCCATCCTGGCATGACACAGAGTGGGTATGATGTAATCCTGATAATTCAATGACCTCTGTCCCTCTAACAGGCATCTTATAGTAATCTGATCCTTCCAGGCTTCAGGTAGCTTCAACTAAATGTAAAAGTACAACAGTACATGCATCCAGATATTATCCATTCAAACAATATAACCTAAAAGAGACCTGCAAAGAGCAAATACCAAATTAAAATCAACAATAAAATGTATATGTTCTAGGTGAAAATATTAAAAATTCCTTGCTATTATATTTTGAAATATGTTATTTTTAAGAAATGGCTTGGTTTAAGACCATTATCTATGCTTCACTGAAAAACAACCAAATAATTAAGCTTATCAACTGAAACTTTTGTAGAAACCAATTTGGGACAAACATTAGTATGATCACAGACTATACTATTTATTGTGTAGTACTTGTTTCAGTGGACTGGGATAGAAGCAAATAATGCTCAGTGCTCCTGTAAGTAAAAGTTGTCAGTTTGGTTGTGTATAGAACCTCCCATAAGAAATGGCTGAGCATTGGAAAGAGACCTGGAAAATCAGGAAGCAAAGGCTCACAGATCCCATTGACAAAGGGATAAATGGAATAGTGTAGAATAGGCCACAGTTGAGAAGATGAACCTAAAGGGAGAGCAAGTAGAGAAAGATTCTAAGACAAAGGTTAGCAAAGATAGCAAAGGTTGGGAATTGAGGCTGATGAGGGGCTAATCTCAGTGGATGAGGGATTTGAAAAACTACTCAGCTGTTGACCCAGAGTAGCTGTATGCTATAGGGAAAGTGAAACATAAATTTTAGCATAGTTGATCAAGAAATAGGTGAGTAAAACAAGCATCTGAAGAAGAATGGGCAGTGAAAATGTGAGACTAAAGAGAGGAGCAATTTAGGAGTAAGCAGAAAAGCAAAATGCTATGTACATTGCCTAGTGCCAGAAATGTCTTTATATTATTGGTAGCGGTTAAGGGAGTTTTGGAGACTGTGCACTAGGGCATATGGTTACTAGGTGTAGGGTCTAGACAGGACTTCCTCAACCTGGGGCACTCCAGGTGTGTTGGAGCATAATTCATATCAGCCCCAGCCAATATGAGTAATGGTCAGCGATGATGGGAGCTTTAATTGAAAATACTTTGGAGACTTCTCTAGATTGCTAAGGACTCTCCTATTATTCCTTCTTATTTGGAGATGTAGGAAGGCAAGAAAATATATATTAGGAAAAAGAATAAATATATGATGGATGGCAGTGAGTCTAAATTTAATATACTAATTACAACCCACCAGCTAAAACTTTGGCTAAACACTCCTAGTTAGTAAAAGATTTTTAGGTACAAAAATTATTTCAAAACCATTGCAGGCCTACAGTCCCGTTTGCCTGCCAAAGCCCTTTAAAATAGAGCAACTCTGTTAACAAGCAGTGAAAAGGCAGAAACTTTACCTTGGCAGGCATAGGCCCTTTCCTCATAGCCTGCATTACACAAGCACTTCCCTATGGGAACTAGCCATTCTCCTTCTGTACTGCAGTACATCTTGGGAGGGTCTTCCTCTTTGGAATGATTCACGCAAGAGCCTCGGACTTCCACCAATGACTGAGAATCCATAGGAACTGTGTCTGGAAACATGGCCAGGTTCTTTACAGTGAAAGGGCACTTTTTAAAGTACACTCGCACAGATACTAAGGCAACGCATGCACCCACATCTTGGAAAGCCAAGTAAAATCCTTTCCTGCTCACAGGTCCCACTTCACGAACCTCTGTGTTGAGTTTAAGAATGCGATCTCCAAGATCCATTTGAGTGAAGCTCTCATCGGCAGCAATGGTATCGATCTTTGTAAACAGGTGTTCTCTAAACTTGACAGAATGGTCCTCATCAGACTCCATATAATACAAGTTAAAAGTCTCTTTGCAAGTGCCCAGAACCAGTGGGATGCTATTACAGTCCCGCAAGGTAAACTTGAGCTCCACATAGATCTTCTGAGCTGAGTTACGTGGTATCCAGTTTGTCCTCAGCCAATTGTTCTGACTGTGGTCCATGACATTGCAAACCTGGTACGTTCGGATTGGAGTATAGTTCTCATCGACACCACTTATTTCTTCCCACTGGAAACATAAATATAAAACAGTTATTTCAAAATCAAGGATAATAAGAAGCTAGGATCAGAAGGTACTTTGAGGTTTGCCCTTTGCTTCTGGCACATTGTGACTACTAAACCATTCTCATTATATATGAATACTGGGACTGAGGAAGGATGAGGGTGATGATACATAACATCTTGGAAAAAGAAAGGTTTGTGGACATTTTTCTGATTCTGTAGCGCGCACACACACTCATGGAAGCATTCATTGATCTGAACTTTTGTAAGTTAATAGATAATACCGATGCGATAAAATCTTGAGGATTTCTACCAAAATATCAATATTCCATTATATTTCTCAGCTGGCAAAGAAGGAATAAAATTCCTCTGATTTTTCCCATATTTCCAAATAAAATATAAATATTTCATTTAATATTACCTTCAAAATCTTGCAACTAGCAGTCCCTCAACCTACTCCCTACTTTTTCTTCTCATGAAACTATGCAAAATATTTGAGATGTTGTCGTTGTCATAGTCATTCTTGCCAATGAATGATCACACAGTACAAAGTACAAAAAGTAGCCATATTCAGTGTCTGAAAACCAACTCCCTCTAGCTGTTCAAATGTCTAATTTCCCTATCTCTTTTCCTAGCTACTAAAGTGTAGAAATGTATTTTCTCAATGTCTTCTTTTACCTCTAGCAAATATTGTAGTAATACCATCTCCTTATACACTCACAGTATAATTCAATACATATCTAACTTATAAGTAATGTAGAAATCACTTTGTAAGCACCACTGAATTACTTCTGTGTTCCATTGAGTGGGGATTCTCAATGAAAGCTTCAGATTTGTAAGAATGTTGGAACAAAAATTTATTTAGTTTTTTTTTTAAATGTAGTTTTTATTTTATGGTCATGGACCAGGAAGATTAAAACACAGTTAAAACAAGTACATTTTATGGAATGCATGGAGCAAAAATAAATTCAGCTTCTTTGAATGTGTATAGTATAGAAAGGTGATAAAGTTTCAGTAATTCCTTACTTTGGAATGAACACTGAACAATTTGTAATACTCAGTTGTAAAACACTTTCCCTCCTACTGTTCTTCTCTAACTGTGATACGAATACAAGGTACCCTTGAGGAAACGGCAGTTTTGACCATGACAAACAGAATAACAGAGGTGGAAAGGAAAGGAAGCAGAAACCTGGTGTAGCAAGCACAGTAACTTTGTGGTGGAAAAGAAAGCATCTACCTTTCTGCCACTGTTAACATGGGAGTTATGGCAGCGGCCATTACATTAGGTCGACAGGTTCTCATGGAGCTTTAAGTAAGGCTCATGAGATGGCAACAGTAAACAATAGTTCAATGACCAATAACAAAAAGGGTTTTTTTCTATATCCTTTGCCCATCAATGCTGGTTTCAGTCTAAAGCAGAGAAAACTCCTCCATCTCTAATCAATCAGTTTGGTCTCATATTACAGCTACCAAATTTTTAAAAAGGGAAAGCAAAACAAGCAAAACCCCCTGCCATCTTAAGTGCCTGTCATCCAAAAGGATTCAAAATTTACAGGACATTACAAGAGATAAGTGAAATACAGCAGGCATACTAACCTGTTAACTGAACTCCTAAAAATAAAAATGTTGCAATTATAAAGAATTAAGTATCATCAGAATAAATTGAAACTCCTTCCTGGTCCCACCTTCCATAAATCTACCAGTAATATGTGGAGCCTAATCAATATTAATTTTACTCTGCAGATGACTAGATCAGTCTGCTTCTGGTTGTTGTCAATTTTTCTTCTGTTTGTTCATGCATCCATTCTGTCTTATGTCTACAGAGTTAATCATCATCATCATCTTCATATAAGTTTTTATATAAAGTATTTTGAACATATTTTCTCTTAAAGAGAAAATATATAAACATAGTGAACATGAAGTAAATATTTGGCATGCGTTTTATCCTAAAATAAACATTTTAAAAATATTCTGGTATGTTTGTGAGGTGACAATTGTATCATAGAATTTATAAAAATATGAAATTCAGAGGATATCTACATTCTGATCCACAATCTCTTAGTATGGGAGACAATGATCAGGTCATCATCATGATTGCTATTTCACAGTGAATCTTTGAGCTAGTGAACCCACTTTTGAGATCTATTAAACCATAGTTCTAATAACAACAATCTACTAACCTCAATTATCTCACTCATGAGTGGATTACATTATTTTGCATGTTAAACTATAATGACAAAGATGTGTTGCAGAAATACAATCAGAAAAGTAAAACATCTGTTTTCTTTTTTAAAAACACACACATAAAATAGGAATTTTATCTGTTGTCCTGCAAACAATGTATTTGGATACTTTTTTTTAATAATTAGAAGCCTGTGCAGGTTTTAATTAGAAGACTAAGATCCAGTACTGAATTATGTGTAGTTCTCTACCTGCCTACTCAGAAGAAATCCTACTGAGCTGATAGATAAAATAGGTTCAAAATTGTAACATTAGATCTACCAATCTGAGTAAGTTACAGCTTGCTTAACTCAGTACTGATGGCTTTTACAGCATAAGCCTTATATAAGTAAATCCCATTGACTTCAGTGGGACCTATTTCCAGATATGTGATCATAGGATTGCAACTTTAGTTATGCAGAACATCTAAGGGTCAAACTGGTGATGTATACGTCCTTGCTAGCACACGTTATCAGGCAGATTGTGGGCGTATCTGTTGGTTGTTGTATTGCTTATTGTTTGTGCAACTATTTTTTACTTCTAACTTTGATGCCAGTTGAAAGCACAATGAATATAGTCAACTGGCATTCATCACACTATACCAGCTGTTGCTGTGGCAGGACCATAGAAATGACCTACCCACTATGAGACAGACAGACAGACTGCCTGTCTGAGTGGCTGGCTGCCCAGTCCTTGAAAAGTTCAATCGCATTTTCTATTTAGGATTTCAAGAGGAACAAGGGAATATATTCTAAAGCAACTGTTAAGTACTTGCAAACCACTGTTGCTCTTTGTATAATTTCATGTTTTGAGTTTAATTACAGTTTGCTTGTCTCTCTTGATATTAACCCATTTGTGCATTATTTATTGTCAGAGAGCAATTACACATGAGTATAAATCTAAACAGACATCCCATCTTAGCTTTCTAATACATTAAAACTAAATTTCACTTAGGGATAATTTATTATATCACCAGAAGCATCCACCATAATATAATGTGATTGACACAGAATAAAATACAACATACACCTTGCACACATTTGATAGATATTTACAGCATCTTTAGATCGGCCATGTTGACATAAGGAGATGAATATCAAGATATGAACTGCATGATAAACCAAACACAACCACTCTACATCCTGCAGAAAGGGAAGCAATGAGCTATTATCACTGCATTAATTTGTAATGAAGGCCAAATTATAGCAGAATTTCAGGCCATTTGCACAGAAAGCAAAACACCCAAACTATTGCTACATGCAAAACAAGGTCCAGATTGTATCTGTGACCGAGAGATTGTACTTCCATTTGTTTCCTATTCTGAGCCTTCACAAATAATTTTGTAATTTTGTATATTACAGCTTCTTATTATGTGGAGACATTCATTCATTATTGATAGGTCTTTTTATGAGACTTCATACCCTAGCAGTCCTTTCAATCATGTTGCCTCCTGGTACACAATGGAGACTATTTGATCAATTGGCCTGATGTACTAAGGAGACCACACTGTTTAAATGCTCCACTATCACAGCAGGTTTACGTGATTGCTGAACTCTAGACCATTTTTCCAGAGACATTTGAAAGGAGTTTAGACTGTCTCCCAAGCCAGATACAGCTTTGAAAATACAGTGGAGATACTTTCGAAATTATTCCCATCTGAATTTTTCTGCAGATTTTGGAGTTACCATTTATGTCTGCTTCTTTCTAAAGTTCCATCAATGCATTAGGAAATCTCCAATTTTCTGCTATTTTGGTTTTCAGGTTTTGTACAATGCATTGTGCATGCAGTTAGCAAACTTTCAAATTCTTCATTCATGTCTTCTTCCCACTTATATCCCCAGTGTGGCAATATACACTAATAAATAAAATTCATCACATTTTGACTGCATTATTTATTATTTTGAGAGGCCTTTCACTGATTCATATAGGCATCCATGCTCTTTCATTAAAAATACAATCTTGAAGGACATATACATAGCTAATTCTGTACCACAACAATAATTCTTCCTCATTCTATTCTATTCTCTTCTATCTTGGATGCATTATTGGATGGAAAATTGCATATAAACAAATAAATGCATTCTTTTGTGGGATATTTATCAACATGCCATTGTGCATGTAGACATTGGAAAAGCACCACCACAGAAGATATATGAAGTAATCGGTCATAGATACCATCATATCAATGCTAATTTTTGCAGTATTTCATCAATACAGAGTACTAAAGTACAGAAGAAATGATCTAAATGTGCACTTAGTAATCTCAAATTTTCTTTTAGAAATCTTCTTGGTTAAAACAGGTTTCAGGACTAGTTCAGGGACAAAGTATCTGCTTTGCATGCAAAATATCCCGGGTTCAATCTTTGGCATCTCTTGATAAGGTAGGAATAAGTCTTACTGAAAACTCTGGAGTCACTGCCAGTCAGAGCCAAATTTCATCTTATGATCGTGTATAGCTGAGGTGTGTTTTGTGTTTACTGTAGTGTATCCACATGTAATTTAAATCTACATCACAAGCCATCCACTCAGAGAGGGGAAGAGGAAATACTCCCTGAACCTGTTTTTCCCAAATTCCTTCCTGCTGCCAGGGATACTTTTTTCTAACCTGAAAACATTCTGGTCCTGATGCAAATGAAGAATGCACACAGTTACACTAAGTTAAAACAAGAGTGTTAAAATTTATTATATCTGCCAGAACTTGTACTCCGGAGTTGGAACAGCTTAATCTGTGGAGATTTCCAGAGCACAGCCTATTCCAGTTTTATTGGATGTGTTTCACTTTGGTAC